ATATTTATATACATTTACTCTTTTTGTGTTTTATTTAATATGCAACGTAAAAAAAACGAACGAATTATTGTTAGATTGAATTGATCATAGAGGTAAAAAACGAAAGTAGATCAAAATGAAAGTAAACAAGATGGATGCCAAGGCATCTAGAAGATTGAGTTTGGAGATTATTAAGCTTTAGGAAAGTGAATTTATTTATATAAAATTTTAAAACAGTAAGTAAAAATTGTTAAATGGTATGAAAGTTAACTTGTATTTCAAATAAATCTAAAAATGTGAAATTACATAACATAACACTTAATTAATATAATGTAAAAACGGCAGGCATGTTATTTATTAAATCATGTTCATGTCAGACCTCGGAGATGAATTTCACCTGTCTATGGTTATTATCATAGTCGGTTATTATAAAGTTTTGGCCTGACAAATAAGCTATGATGATAAACGGCCTGTACTGTATATAGGAAAACTCCTTAAAAATCAAAGACATGAATGATCATATTTTTTATGGAAGGATCCTCAGGTAGTTTGTTCAAATCATGACCCTTGGGGGTAGGGCAGGGCCACAACATGGAATTCAAGTTTTACATAGAAACATGTAGAAAAAAATCTTTAAAAATCTTCTTTTCAAAAATAGCAAAGCCATAATTAGTCCTATTTATATTGAAGGATTCTCAGGTAGTGAAGATTCAAGTTTGTACAAGTCATGACCCCTAGGGGTAGGTTGGGGCCACAATGTTACTTGAAATGTAACGGGAAATAAAGCCACAGGTAGTCAATGAAAGCATCCTTAGTTAGTGTAGATTCAAGTTTGTTCAAATCATACCCTCTCCCTTTCAAGGATTGTTTGGGACCACTATTGGGTTTTGCCCCGTGGGGATCCGGGTTAGAATAGGTCCTCAGTACCCCATTGCTTCTCGTTAAATGCGACTAAATGGGGCGGTCCTTCGAATGAGACCGTATAAACTGAGGCCCTGTGTCACAGCAGGTGTGGCACGATAAAGATCCCTCCCTGCTCAAAGGCCGTAAGTACCGAGCATAGGCCTAAATTTGCAGCCCTTCACCGGCAATGGTGACATCTCCATATCAGTGAAATATTCTGGAGAGGACGTTAAACAGTATACAATCAATCACTATTGGGTTTCAACTTTTCAAAAATAAATCGATTTATGCTTTCTCCCTAGCCACATTGCTCAGGTGAGTGTTGTGGCCCATTGGCCTCTTGTACTTCTATCTTTTGATTTTGTCTTGCAGTTATCTCATTGGTTAACGTTCATTTCAGCTTAAAATTACACGATTGATAAAATCATTTGCTTTGTGGTTCTTTTGAATAACCCAAAGTGTCTGATATACATTCATAAAACATGCTTTACATTTTGATGTTGAAAGTTTTTTTTGTGTCAAAACAAGTATAGTTTTGGTTACTATTTCTGTTCCCTGCTTTTGCCGAAGCAAGGTGACATTTAATGTCATTTTTCGGTCTCTAGCTGTTGCAAGGTGACATTTAATGTCATTTTTCGGTCTCTAGCTGTTTGTCTGTCACTAAATAATTTAACAATGGTCATAAATTTTTTATCAGAAGAGATGGGGCTTTAATATTACATATATATTACATTTGACAAGACCTTTCAAAACGTACTATGATTTTAACTACTTGACCTTGAATTTTGACCTAATTTTCAAAATTTAAATACTGTATTATTTGTTCTTAAGTTTTGAATAAGAAGAAGTATAAATAATGGACTAACAATTAGTATGAAAAACGTCTGAGTCAGTATTTGACTCAATGATAAATTGTATTTGCTGACAAGGTCACTTATCGACCATAGAACTTATGAAATGATGACTTTAAACGAGACGGCTGATATTCTTGTTTCATCAACTTCCTTGTCAATAATTTACCTCTTTTTAGAAATTGTTCATACATAGAGCAAGCTCTTGCGTATCAAATCAACTGAGATATATATAATCCGTGCGCAGGTGATGAAGGTAAATGTATACTGCTGCATAAGGGAAGTAGACGATAGAAAAGTTATTAAAAGTCATAACGTTTATCTTATAGCTTGGTTGTTAGATTACCATTAACATCTTTTTTAAGTAAAATATCCAAGTATGAAAGAGATGTGTCAGACTCTTTGTATCTTGTATCTTAAGCTCACTAGGATATATCGTATTGATGTAGGAATGGAAATTACCATTGTTAATTGACAGTGCGTCCTCGATATATCTAAATGTCGAGTTGAAGGCCACAGCAAGTGTTTTCTTTTTTTCACGCATAAGATTTTGCACGAATTCTGCTTCATATGAATATAATAATAGGTCTGCTATGTAATTAGCATTATTTTTAGGGGTATGTTGGGACTACCAAGCATTTAAGCTTTTTCAATAGAAGATTGATTTTTGCTTTTTTGTAGCAAGAGTGCTCAGGTAAGCCATGTGGCCCATGGGTCTTTTATTTAAGTTACATTTTACTTAGCTTTGTGAGGGTAAATTAATATTAGAATAGTTTTTAGCTCACCTGAGCCAAATATCACCACAAGGTATCCTTGGGTAAATGGGATTCAAGTTTGTTAAAATGAAACCCACATCGTATTCCAAAGGGAGATAATCAAAAATTAGTGAACACTTGAGGGCGTCTTTTAAAAACCTTCTTCTCAAGAACCACTGGGTCAGGGAAGATGAAACTTAAATGGAAACATCCTCAGGTAGTGTAAATTCAAGTTTGTTGAAATCATGACCCCTGTTGGTAGGGCAGGGCCACAATTGACAATTAAAGTTGTACATAGGAATATATATATAGAAGAAATCTTCTTCTCAAGAACCACTAGGCAAGGAAAAGTTAAACTTGTACATGTTGTATGAAAGCATCCTCAGGTCATGTAGACTCAAGATTGTAGAAATCATGATTCCCAGGGGATAAGGTGGGACCACAATAGGGATCAAAGTTTTACATAGGAATATATAGGAACATATTAAAAATCATCTTCCTGAGAACAGCAAACTCAGGGTTAGTCATATTTAGGTCACCTGAGTAGACTCAGGTGACCTATTGCTATCTGTTTTCGTCCGTCGTCGTTCGTCGTGCGTTAACATTTGAACGTTTTTAACTTCTTCTCTGAAACCACTGAACCAATTTCAACCAAATTTGGCATATAGCATCTATGGGTGAAGGGGAACAAAAATTGTGAATTTCATGGTCCCTGTCCCCCTGGGGCCTGGGGGGTGGGGCAAAAACCACTAAAATCAGTGCTATCTTTAAAAATCTTCTTCTTTACTCCTGGACATCAAGCAGTCAAACTGTTTGTATGATTGTAATCAGCATTGAGTCCTCTACCAAAATTTTGAAATTCATGGCCCCAGGGTCAGGGGTTCTAGTGCTAGGGCGGGGCTAAACAGGTTACATAGTGAAAATGCATTATTTCTTTAAAATTCTTCTTTTCTGCTCCTGGACATTAAATAAACTAACCAAGTGCATAGGTAAGTTGAAAATGACTACTTTTTTCAAAATTGTGAAATTTATGGCCCCAGGGTCACGGGTTCTAGTGCTAGGGCGGGGCTATATAGATTATATAGTGAAAATGCATAAATTCTTTGAAATTCTTTTTTTCTGTTTGTGGGCATTAAATAAACTAACCAAGTGCATAGTTATGTTGAATAAGACTGTCTCTTCTCAAAATGTGAATTTAATCCCCCCAGGATCAGGGGTTCTAGTGGTAGGGTGGGGCTATATAGATTATATAGTGAAAATTTTTTGAAATTCTTCTTCTCTGCTCCTGAGTATTAAATAAACTGACCAAGTACATAGTTATGTTGAATAAGGCTACCTCTTCCAAAATTATGAATTTCATGGCCCCTGGGTTGGGGGTTCTGGTGTTAGGGCGGGGCTTTATTGATTACACAGTGAAAATGCATAAATTCTTTAAAACTCTTCTTTTCTGCACCCGAGTATTTAACCAATGAACTATGCACATACATGTAGTTATGAGGAGGAAGGATGCCTGTTTGAGATTTTTGAATTTCAGGTCCCTGGGTTATGGGTTCTTGTGTTAGGGCGGGGCTCTATTGTTTATATAGTGAAAATGCATGAATTCTTTGAAAATCTTTTCCTTTGTTGTTGGGTATAATGCCAATGATCTTAGTATATATTTATGACAAAAAACCAGCTTCTTCCAAAAATGGTCAATTTCCTGGCCCCTGGGACAGAGGTACTTTGAGGGGGGGGGGGTTTACATAGTCTGAAATAATTTAATGCTTTGAAATCTGCACTTTGGTATTAATCAACAGCATTGTGAAATTAAATTTTAAAAAAATTCTAAAATTTTGAAAGATATGGCCCCGGGATCAATGGTTCCTGTGGGATGGGGAGCTAAACTGTTGACCAACCCTAACACAAGTAGCCCTGACCCAGGGGCCCTGATCTTCACTAAAAGTAGAAATGCATTTTCTCTGTGTTGCGCTGATCTACCTCTGGGTATTAAGTAACCAAAATAAGCATGCTGAGTACATAATTATGATAAGCAGTGGTGCCTTTTTCAAAATTGTGAATTTCATGGCCTCTAGTTTAAAACATGAATCAAATTCAATTGTTGGAAAGTTGTCGCATGATACTCAGGTGACCTATAAGGCCCGTGGGCCTCTTGTTATATGGAAGTATCCTCAGGTAGGGTAGATTCAAATTTATTCAAATCATGACTCCTTATGTTAGGGTGGGGTCACAGTGAACTATCCAAGTTTTACATAGGAATATATAGGAAAAATCTTCTCAACATGCTCAAGAACAGCAAAGTCATGGTTGGTTATGTTTTTATGGAAGCATTGTCAGGATAGTGTCTAGATATTTAAAAAAAAAATCATGACTCCAGGAGATAGGGTGGGACCACAATAAAAGTTCAAACTTACAGAGAAAAAAGGAATTAAAGAAAATAATGTAATTATCCTAAATTAGTGTTGATTCAAGTTTGCCTACATGTAAATTTGTTTAAACCATACATCTCTTTTAGGGTCAGGACGACATGCATTTACTGAATTGATTTTGCTTGTTTCTATCGACAGTGCTCAAGTAAGCAATGTGGTCCATGGGCCTCTTGTTGTTTTCCCTTATGCTGATTGAAATAAGTGATTTGTACATGGAGAAAGGTTTTCTTTTTATAATTTTTTAGATGGCAAAGAGAAAGAACAACTCTGGCCGAGGAAAACGCCTCAAAGACAAACTAAGAAAGAGAGAGCAGAGGCAGGAGAAGACCCTCCCCACATCAGATGCCCTACCTGATGATAAACCACCAGAGTCTACTGTCCCAATTGGGGCAGTAGATGGAGCTGTCTCAGTTCCACCCAGTAACTTTCTGGGGCAAGGCTCTATAGGGTTGCCGCCTTTTGAGGGAAAACCCTTGGCCAGGTTGCAGGCCTCTCTTCGCGAGAAAATGCAACCAACTGTCCTGAGTAATGCATCTTCTCAGGGAAGTCGTCTGTGTGCCCGAAACGGAGGCATGGCACCGTCCCCTGACTCCCCACCGTGGGTTTGTACTCCAGCGAGGGTACCTGAGCCGGACACCGTGCACGTGTCTGGCTCAGCAGGTCAGGCGCAGCTGGATATGTCATCCTCCAAGGGGGATGAGTCCAGCAGGATATTGATTGATGCAAACCAGAGTAAAAGAACGAGATCTAAAAAGGATACTAAAAGGAATTTACATGATGAAAATGAGAATATAGAAAATGTATATGAGAGAAGTAAATTAGATTGCAGATTTGAAAGATCACATACTGGTGGACTGGATGGTGCTGAGTATGCATGTTTTATTGATGATGATCCAGTAACAATGTCTCAGGTAACTGTTCAAGGTTCTTTTCATCAGGGTGACTTTATGTTTGGTGAAAATGCAGGAACACAATGTGTTGCAAACTGCTTAACAGCATTAGCTTACCACAAAATTAAGAATGCGAAACAATGGAAAACTCCGGATATGAATAAAGTGTTAACAACAGGTGATGAGCTTTATACATACTTACAGCGTAGTTCAACCATTGTTAGTAGATACCTTTTAGTTGATGAATTGCCCCAGTTCTTTGAGTGTTTTAACAGAATGTTTGAGTTCAAAGCACATGAATCTTTATGTATCCTGATAAATTTGTCTGAAATAGAGCCAAACTATGACGAGTTTAATGCGTATTCAATTTTAGATGCATTGGAGATTGCTCTTGGAGAAACAAGTGGGTGTTTTATGTGCTTCAGTGGAAATACGTTTTTGATTGGAAAAACATCAGATGGTTACTTTACATTTGATTCACATTCAAGGTCGTCATTAGGGAATATGACTTTTAATGGAAAGAGTACAAGGATACTGTATCAATCAGTTTATGATGTATACAATCATGTATTGTCATTAGCATTGTCACTGGGACTTAGTGGAATTATTGAATGTGAAGTAACTGGTGTGGATTGTTCAGTTAAGAAGTTAACATCTTCTGATGAACGTGGTCTTCAAATTGAGCAAACAGAAGTTTCACATGATTTTATGGAGTCTAATCAGCCTTTTGAAGAGAATGCAAACACTTTAAATGCAAGTAGTCAGTCAGTTGCAGATGATGATGTTGAGTTTGTTTGCAGTGAAAGTCACAGTATTGATTTCTTGCCATTATGTAGCAGTATGAAAGACCAGCTTTGTGAAATTATGGGAATTCCACAGTCCAACAAAGTTCATGATGATGAACATGTCTGTTATGTTGAAGAAATAGGTGCACCTACTGACTGTATTGAAATTCAAAGGGATGGAAATTGTTTCTTTAGGGCCATTTCATTTTGTTTGACTGGAGTTGAGGATTATCATTACCAGATACGATCTGCAGTGTGTCAACATCTGCTACGCTATACAAAATTGTTTGAAACCTTTGTAAGACCTGCAGAACGTTCTGTTGAAAATCACTTGTCTTTAACAGATATGTCAAAAGATGGTTCATGGGCAACTGAAACAGAAATCCTTGCACTCTGTCATCTCTTGAGTACTGATGTACATACATATTCAGAGAATCACTGGATTACATATTCAAGACGATTGATAGAACCAACAACAAATGTTCAACCGTTAGGATCAATTTATTTAGATCACGAGAATCAGAATCATTATAATGTAGTGATAACAGTTGCTGGAAAAGAAACAGAGAATTTCATGAAATCTGAATTTGTTGGGAATGAAGAATACAGAAAAAAACAAATAAATCGAAACCGCATGAGGGCAGTACGTATTACTTCATCTTCAAAAAAATTATGTAGTCATGAAATGAAACTAAGGAATGGGGATTACATGGAAAGGAGATCAAGAGCAGCAAAACTGAAGTACAAGACAGACCTTAAATATCGATTAAAAGTATTAGCAGATGGAAGAAATAGATACAGCAACAACAAAGATTATCAAGCAAAGGTAAAAACAAGGATTTTGAGAAAATACACTTGTGACAAAGAAAACAGGTTGAAAGTCATGGAATACAGCAAAAGCTTTAGCAGAAGGAAGTACATAGCAAATGATCTATATAGACAATACAAGAAGAAAACAAGCATCGAAAAATATAGTTCAGATGTAGTGCATAGAATGGATGTCCAACAAAGGAGTACAGAGAAGTACAAAAATGATGATGTACACAGAATGGATGTCAAACAAAGGAGTACAGAGAAGTACAAAAATGATGATGTACACAGAATGGATGTCAAACAAAGAAGTACCATGAAGTACAAAAATGATGATGTACACAGAATGGATGTCAAACAAAGGAGTAGAGAGAAGTACAAAAATGATGATGTACACAGAATGGATGTCAGGCAAAGAAGTATACAGAAGTACAAGAATAACGAAGTACACAGAATGGTTGTCAAAAAAAGGAGTACAGAGAAATATAACAATAATGAAGAACACAAAAATAAGGTAAAGACTGTTTTGAAAAGAAAATATAATACCAGTGCAGATGAGAAGAGAAAAAAGAAAGAGAATGTTCTTAATCAGAGACGTGCTCAGAAAGTGAAGCTGGAAGAGGAAGATGAAGTTGTGAAATTGTTTAAAGAAAGTGTCAGAAGTGGCCCAGAGTACACATGTTGCTGTTGTCATCGTTTATTATTTGAACACCAAGTTCAAGGATGTAGACTTGAAATGTACAAAGAAAGGAAGAAGGTGAATGATATTGCAGAGACTTGCATACAAAAGAAATATGTTCATGATTGCACATTGTCTTGTCCAGTGTATTGCCCACAGTCATCATTATGGATATGTTTTACTTGCCACAGAAAAATACTGAGTGGTAATACACCAGCAGAGGCAGTTGTAAATCGAATGTCACTAGAGGAAATTCCAAGTGAATTGAAGGATTTAAACAGTTTGGAGCAGCATCTCATTGCCTTGCATATTCCATTTATGAAAGTGATGGCTCTACCCCAAGGTGGTCAAAGAAATGTACACGGACCTGTTGTATGTGTGCCGTCTAATGTGCAAAAGGCAAAAAGTTTACCCCGAAATGAGAATGACAATTTATTGTTAAGAGTTAAGCTGAAACGAAAATTAGCTTACAAGGGTCATTTTGAATACCAGTTTGTTAATCCGAATCATATTAATATGGCTCTTGATTATTTAAAGAAAGAAAACAAATGGTATAAGGATGTTGGGATTAATACCACATGGGAAGAAAATGATGACCAAAATGATTTGCTATCGAATAAGTCGACTGAATTTGTAGACGAGGAAATGAAAGAAGAAGACAGAGATACGAATCAAGAAGTTGTTACTGACACATGCTTACAGCCTGTGGATGTTGCACAAGAAGTTCTTGATCATTACTTTGACGATGTTTACAATATAGCACCTGCCGAAGGAAAAAATCCAATCAGAATGTTGCAAGAAGAGGGAAACGAAGCAAAGACATTTCCTCATTTATTTCCAAGTGGCAACTTTTCTTGGAACGAACATCGAGACGTGAAAATTACCCTTTCAAGGTATTTTAACAATAGACTGATGAATTCTGATAACAGATTTGCTAAAGACACAAATTACATTTTCTTCTCACAGTACATGTCAGAATTGAATCAAGTAATTGAAAAAACACAGATTTCAGTACGAAAGTCATTATCAAAGCTTGATGGTGGGAAAGCAGTAACATCTGAAATGTTGCAAAATCCAGACATTCTCTCCAAACTGCTGAGGAATGATGAGGCTTTACGCTTTATGCAACCCATTCGAGGAACACCTGCATATTGGTCGACTACTCAAAAAGATCTGTTTGCTATGCTACGACAGTTGGGTATTCCAACATGGTTTTGCTCTTTTTCTGCGGCAGAGTACAGATGGAATGAAATTATTGGATCAATATTGCATCATGATAATGATTCTAGATCGCCTACTGATTTAGACTGGTCAGAAAAGAGTGAAATTTTGAGAAGTAATCCAGTTACTGTGGCCAGAATGTTTGAACATAGATTCCATATGTTTCAAAGACATGTTATACTCTCACCATCAAAACCAATAGGCAATGTTACTGATTATTTTGTAAGAGTAGAATTCCAGCAAAGGGGCTCTCCACACATGCACTGCTTGTACTGGGTTGAAAATGCACCAAAATTTGAGGAGGATGACGAGGAAACAGTTTGTGATTTCATCGATAGATATATCACATGTGCTTTACCTTCTGAAAATGAGGACTCGGAACTCCGGAGAATTGTTTTAGGTGTTCAGCAGCATAGCAAGAATCATTCAAAATCATGTAAGAAAAAGGGAACAGATTGTAGATTCAATTTTCCAAGACCGCCGTCGGAAAGAACATTTATTACAAGACAGTGTGAGGAAGAGGAAAAGGACATGGAGACTGACGGAAACTTCTGTAAATCTCAAGCAAAAGATATCTTGCTGCATGTTTGGAATGAGGTACTTAATGATGAGAATGAATGCAAAACTACTGAGGAAATGTTCATGAATATGGGATTATCTCAAGAGTTATATGAAAAAGCACACAGACTATTATCGGCAAAAACAAGTACTATCTTGAGACGAAATCCAGATGAAATGTGGACAAATCAATACAGCACCTGCCTTCTGAAATGCTGGGATGCTAACATGGACATTCAATACATACTTGATCCATTTAGCTGTATTGTATACATTATTTCATACATTTCAAAATCGGAACGGGAAATGGGAATGTTGTTGAAACAAACTCAAATAGAATCTGCTGAGGGGAATTTAAATGCTCGTCAAACAATGAAAAAAATTGGATCAGCTTATCTCAATCATAGAGAGGTCAGTGCACAAGAAGCAGTATACAGAGTCTGCAATCTAAAAATGAAAGAAAGTTCAAGAAAGGTGGCTTTTGTTCCTGTTGGGGAAAATCCAACCCGGTTAAGTAAACCTCTTGCACAAATGAAAAGAAAATCAAATAATGAAAATGATGTTGACATTGAAGATGATGATGACAGCATTTGGATGACAAATATAGTAGAGAGATATGAAAGTCGACCTGATTCACATTCTTTTCCCGAGATGTGCCTTGCAGAATTTTGCTCCGAATATCGTGTTCTGGCGAAATCTCAGATTCCTAAGGGAGAAAAAGAAACTGTTTTTGAATTGAAGAATGGAAACGGATACATTCAGAAAAGAACAAGAGGAAAGCCAGCCGTAATAAGATATCCAAGATTCAACCCCGAAAATGCACCAGAAAAGTATTATCAATCAATACTACAACTGTTTCTTCCATATGTGAACCAAGATCAACTGAAACCACCTGGATTTGACTTACACCAGACTTTTTATGAAAACGGGTTTGTCAATATGAAAACTGTAAACAAACTACAATCGGTGAGAAATATTGTGGAAAATAATCGTAGTATCTTTTCAAAGAATGAGGATGCCATTGAAAATGCACAAGAAACTTTAGAATTTTATGGTGAACCTGAAGATGCTTGGGCAAACCTTTGTCCAGAAACTGAAAAGAATCGAGAAGAATGTCTAAAAGAAAAGAGGACAATAGAACAATCAGAAAATAGAAAACCAGAGACTACGCATGAAATTGAACTTGATGGTTGCTCAGACATGATCTATCATATAAGGGAAAATTCTAACTCAAGACAAGAAATTCTTCCTTTATTGAGAAGTTTAAATCAAAAACAGAAGCAGATTTTCTATTTAGTTCGTGATTGGTGTTTAAAGAAAGTGTCTGGAAAGGAAATAGAACCATTGCATATCTTTGTCACCGGAGGTGCAGGGACAGGTAAAAGTCACTTGATCAAGACTATACAGTATGAAGCTTCAAGGGTTTTTGAAAGAACACTTTTAACTCCTTCAGATTTGTCAGTTCTTCTCACAGCTTTTACTGGAACAGCGGCTTTCAATATTGGGGGAAATACAATTCACCATGTCTTTTCTTTGACCAAAGCACTACCCATTCCTTATGAACCTCTGAAGGAACAGACTTTGAGTGCAATGAGAGTAAAGTTAGCATCTCTACAGATTTTAGTCATTGATGAAGTTTCAATGGTTTTCAAACGACTTTTGTACTACATTCACGAACGCCTGGTGCAAATCAAGAAATGTAAGGAACCATTTGGTGGTATTTCGATTATAGCTGTTGGAGATTTCTTTCAATTGCCTCCTGTAAAACAACGAAAAGTGGAAATATTGTACAAAGAAAATGCAGAATATCCTATTGACTACTGGTTAGACTTTTTCAAAATTATTGAGTTGGACGAAATAATGAGACAACGAGATGATGCTGCATTTGCTTCAGTTTTGAATTCATTACGGGTTCGAACAATTGAAGAACCACTATCAGAGGAGGCGAAAACAATGTTAAAAGAGTGCATTAGAGATGGACCAGAGGAAGTGCTGCATGTGTATCCTACAAATGAAGAGGCAAATGAATATAATCTCAAGATGTTGCAAACTAGTTGTGGAGAATTAATAGAGGTAGCTGCTGAAGATTATCAGAAAGACAAAACTACAGGAAAGCTGACATTACGAGAACAACCTTTTCTAAGGACAAGAACAGACGGCCTTTCAACTTCATTGCTGTTGTCTGTGAATGCTAAAGTGATGCTGACAAGAAATATCAATGTGGAAGATGGACTTGTTAATGGTGCAATGGGGCATATTTCAGATTTTGATTTTGGTACAACTCCGCAAAGAAATAAGATAGAAGGAATTAAAGTGGTTTTTGATTGTGAAGATATTGGTAGACTCCTAGGAAAAAGGACAGCACGTGGCAACGAAGTTCTGATTCAAAGAATACAAGAAGATATCAGAGAGAAAAATACAAAGAATTTTGTTCGACACCAGTTTCCTTTGAAACTCGCATGGGCATGCACAGCACACAAAGTTCAAGGAATGACAACTAACTGCGTTGTTGTTAATTTAGATCGCACTTTTGCTCCTGGACAGGCATATGTTGCAATTAGCCGTGTCACTTCACAAAATGGTTTATTCATAGAAACAAGGGATGAAAATGCTTTGGAAAAAAAAATTTATGCTAACCCAGACGTAAAATCAGCACTGAGTAAGATGGAGAAATTAATCCCCGGGCACAATAAGATCACCTTCGGAGCAGAAATTGTAAAAGTCAAAACAATTGTCTAAATCAATGTGCAAAGTTTAAGAGGACATTTTCCAGATCTTAAAAGCGATAACAGATTTCTTAATGCAAACTTTATATGTGTAACAGAAACATGGTTGACAGACAATGAAAGTACAAAATACTTTGAAGTTCCTGACTTTGAATTCAACCATATTACAAGGAAGCAGTCTTACGATGAAAGTATGGACACATTCGCTCAACTTCGCACAGCAAAAGGAGGAGGTGTTGGTGTTTACAAGAAGAGAGAGAGGAGAAGGCTTTAGTTAATGGTTTACCTGAAAATAATATTGAGGGAATGGCTGTAGAACTTTATGAGGAGAAAACTGTAATCATTCTTATATACCGACCAAGTACTCTGAGTGTCCGATTTTTCTTAGAAAGTTTTCAGAAAGTTGTAGATTTCTTTAAAGTGCAGCATTCCAAATGCCTTGTACTTGGAGATTTTAATGAAGACGCGCAAGTGAAAGGACCGATTCAAAGAATGTTAGAGACCAACGGATTTAAGCAGAAAGTTAACTTTGCAACAACAGAGGGTGACACTATTCTGGATCATGTATATGTCACAGAACAGATGGAAGCAAGTGTAGAAATCATGCCAGTCTATTACAGCTATCATGATGCAGTGATCGTACATTTAAGAACAGAATAGATAATTTTTGAGTAATTTTCCACTCGAAATCATTTTTGTAGACTCACATAAACATGTTTCGTAATCTTAAGTAACATTTCTATCATTACCCGGAGTATATAAATGCACATTGTAGATCAGAGGTTGCGCTTTGTAAGAACTGTTGTAAGATAGCTTGAATGGTAGGCTGTTACTGTAGAAATTTTTAGGATAAAGGGAAAATGACACAATTCATGATGTGCAAGGGCTATAGCCAGAAAATTCATGATTTTGAAGGAGGATGTATATTATATTTAATGCACTAACAATAGCAGTTTCAATTTTTCAAAAATTTACAAGAACAAAAAGGTCACAATTAAACCTTGTTTTTATTATCATTCCACAGGATTTTTTTTCGGTCATTATTTTCAAACTGCAGTGAAGGAATTTAAGAGAATTATTGGAAAACAACAAAAATAATATTTTCCATTAATGTAGTACTGACATTAATGTAGTACTGATAAACAATTTTCAGCTCGAAATCCATAATAATTCTTAGTGGTTTTCCATTACAGTGTATGTTCTATTGGAAAGATTTAGCTTCAGTGAAATTTATAATGACTATATATGTTCTTATAACCCAATTTAGAGCTTAATTAGAAAATATATTTATCACATTGTACAACTAATATAGGTATATGGGCAAGTAACACTAAAGCAGTGACTCCCGGATATACTCCGATCTGCTCATCGGAGACAGCCATCATTTCGGTCCCGCTTCGAATTTAGAAATACGAATGAATATCTATAGTGTGGATTGATCAAATTTAGAATAATTGTATGTTATACTTTTCCAGAAGGGTCTCTTTAAAACTTATTAATCATGTTAATAGCAGAGAAAAATATTGAGAAACAAAAAAGTTTTTTAAAAAAAATGAACATTTTAAATTTGCTTACAGTAGCGAGCGGAAGTACTGACAATGCAAACGAAAACAAATTCACAAATCTATAAGTCAGCTAGGTGGCGGGGGATAGTTTCTTCATTACTAAAGACCCGGTCAAATTTCTTAAAGATATACTGGAGATATTCCATGTTTGATGTGATATTTTATATAGAAAAATGACTAGAATAATTATGGTACACATTTGTAGTAAAGCAGAGTGCTTCCTGAAAAAATGATGTGCACATGTAGATACCCGGTATTACTACAACACTTTAAGTATATACAGAGTTGTAAATGCAAAACTAAGACACGCCAGTCAATTGCAGAGGAAATTCAGCTGAAAAGCCGTATCCCTTAGAAAAAGGTATGTATCTCAGAGGAAATTTAAGGTGAGTGACCCCATTATCATTTGATAAATTTTCTTTAGGGCATAGATTGATTACTGGGTAACAGAATACTGTTGAGTATTTCATCCTGCTCACTCAGGCCTGTGGGTGCGAGTTAGGCCAAAATCGAAAACAAAATAAGTCCAAATGTGGGTAGTCCAGGGTGCATTTTTAGTAGTATTTTTAATAGGCAGATAACATGTAAAAGCAAGAGCCATCTTATGCATAAAATGGCCCAGTACTTATATCAATTAATTAACTATCACCCTCTTTCCCATTTCATATATCAAAATAAAGTAGACACTTGGTGCTTTTATTTTCTATAATGAAATTTCGTTTTGAAAATCCAGATATTGGAAAACACTGGTTTGAGAAATTGCAATTATCTTGAAATTTGCAGAAAACATGCGTATTTGAATACCTTCAGCAAAGAATTAAAGTATGACCACAGCCCATGATCCAAAAAATGAAACATGTTTTTTGATCTTCGATCGGAAACAGCTTTCATTATGTATTTGCATACTTTAGATCAGAGGTTGTGCTCTATATGAAATATTGAAGAAATGCTTCAACTTTAGGTCATTTTCAAAGGAATTTACAGGATATGAGGAAAATGACGCACTTTATGACGGCATAATGCATTGACTAGATGGGAAATTACATCACAATTAATAGAAACGTGGTCACCAACACTCCAAGTGATAAATATTGCATTTGCAACCTAAAATGATCAGTTTTGATTTTTCACAAATTCTCAGGGCCAAATAAGGCCCGAAGTAGCTCTTAATTGCTCTTTGTTTACATATTTTGTGAGTCATGGGCATATGTAGTGTAATTAATTAGTCCCTGGAAAACGGTTTCTATGTATATTTTTTTATGGATTGCATGTATATGTGTACCGGCCCCCTCAGCACATGTTTAGCATAATAAAAAAAAAACTCCTGCCACTTCATGGTCTATCATCTCTAACAAGTCTTCAGTTAATATCTTCAGCCGTTCTCAAGAACATTCAAAAACAAAATTGCATTTTAAAATCAGGAAATTTCCCAGAACTTGGCACTGGCTCTTAATTGTTCTTAAAAAGAAGAATTTTGAAGATTTGTTTCCTTTTATTCCTAAATAAAACTTTGATCCCTAATTGTGGCCTGACCCTAGCCTGTGAGGTGATGTGCATTTGAAAAACTATAGAAATATGCATGTCTATAGAACATGAATGTCCTGTCGGATGTATATTACTTAAATGCTACATGAAAAATTGTATTAGTGTATGAGTTTGAAGAAAATTCTTTAGAATGGAAACTGAAATCTAAATATAAAATTGGATATAAGTAATAAATTCTCACCAAATTATGTATTAGTGCATGCTAAACATAAAAATGTCTTAAATTATTTCTTTAAAACTGAGCAAAATACAAATTAAAGAGAAGGGAGGTCAAGGTCACAGAAATGCGCAAGGTGAAGTTTTTGATGCATTTGAATAGCTCTCACTAATACATTTCAGCATATTATGTTTGATAAAAATATCTTGAATGATTTAATGAAACTGAGCTTTAACACTATTTTAAGAAAAGAGAGGTCAAAGGAAAGGTTGGGGTCAAAATGTTGTTGCAGTTGAAAAGCTTACATCAGTATGAATTTACTATTAGCATATGAAGTTTGATAAAAATATAATTATTGGTTTATTTAAAACTTAGATAAACACATATTTTAAAAAGTGAGGTCAAAGGAAAATTCAAGGTCAAAAAAAGTTGATGCATTAATAGCTCTCAGCAATATGTATCATATAAAGCATATGAAGTTTGATAAATATATCTTGAATTGTTCATTCAAAACTGATTTAGACATTAATTTAAGAAAAGTAAGGTCAAGGTCACTGGAAAGGTCAAGGTAAAAAAGAGTGAAGCATTGTAAAGCTTACATCAATATGTATCATCATGTGAAGTTCATTACAAAACTTGAATGGTTTATTTAGAATAAAGCTAAACACTAATTTAAAGAAAAGTTAAGTGAAGGTCAAAGGAAAAGTCAAGGTCAAAAAACAATGCTGCAGTTGGATAGTTTACATCAGTATGCATCATCATATAAACTTTGTTAAAAATATCCAGAAAGTTTCTTTGAGCCCGATGGAAAGACAGATGGAAGGGTGGAAGATGGACATGACAAAAACTATACATGTATTCCTAATCATGGCATATGGCATAAAAAAACTTTATCTACATTATATGAGGATGTTTCCATATCAAGATTATACAAGCGAATTCAAAGAATTGTGGTCCTCTGCTCCCTGTGTATTAGTGAATGGGATGCCATAATTTATGGCAGATTGTGTGTCAAATATGCACCTCTATCACATGTCAATTTTTGAAAATTGGGCAAAGGGGAAAAAATCATAGCATGCTTGGAAACATGTTGTTGCAGGTAATGTACACGTCAAATATGAAAGCCCTACTCCTTCTCAATCAAAAGTTATATATAAAATATAATATTTTTAAAAATTTGGTTAAACTTCTAGGTCAAAGGTCACAGAGTCAAAAGTC